AAAGTCATTATACAATCAATAAAGACTGACTCAGACTAAAATATCCACATGATATGTTTATCATATTCTGTCACAAATGACACCAGGTCTTTCACAAATCTAACCCATATTTCTATATCATTATCTGTAGTTTATCTAAATCAGAGTGGCCTTTCCCATTTACCTGGAATATTCATGTTGGGCAATTAGCTCATTCTTTGATATCTTCACTTCTTATCTTTTGTGTTGTTTTTTTTTCTGTGGAGCATATAGTAAACAGTACACACTCCATGACCTGTGATTTGGTTCCTTACTTTTTCACCGGAAAGTTTCGAACTATGCACCTCAGATCTTCACCTCAGTTTTTACATACCACATTTTCCAGTTATAAGTCACATCATTTTTCCTCATGAGTCAGGCATGCTGTTTATACACTGGTGCAGCTTATAACTTGGAAAATATTGTAGGTCATTGTTCTAACAATTCTGCTACTGTGGCCCCAATGTTATTGCGGAAAAAAAGAAAGAAAAAGAAATGCTGACTATACCAAACTGGAAGGTATAATATTGTTAACTTTTTGAGAGATATATTACTAAAGGGAATCAAAATTTATGTACAGCTGACTCTGTTAAATACTGTATCTCATCTATAGTAAAATTTTCTGTTCCGTTTTATTCTGTACATGCTGCCCATCCCATCCAAAATATCGAATTCCTCTCCCTGTTTTATTTATAACAGAAACATTTCTAAAAGTGACAAAGTTTATCAATTCTACATTGATCTTTAACATGGCAGTTTTACAATAAGTATAAATTGCTACAGGAAAACTAGCAGAGATAAAAAGGACCATACCACACTCAAAATAGACATAATCACTTTGATCACAAGTAGATGATAACTTTGTACCATAAGACACAAAGTGATCCTTACTTGTGTATCCGACTACTACAAAAGTTATAAATACAGCCTTTTCATTTAGAATATTATAAAATTTCAACAGATACATTTAATATACATGTCTATCAATAAGACCAACCAATACATTTTTTCTGCATTTCTTATCAAAAGTTTGTAAATCAAGTTTTTAAAGTAGCAAATGAAAGTGAATTTCATGAGAAATAAATTTATTTGATGTTATATTTGTTTTTTTTTTAGTTATATCTACTAAAAATATATCATTTCAAAACCCCTTGTTGAGGATGTGTGAACCCCAGTGACCATTCTGATTTTTATGTAGTACCGTATTTTACCACAAATAACCCCCACACCCAGTTCAAAAGAGACTGTCAAAAGAGGGGAGGGGACTTATTTGCGGGCAACCCCCCCCCCCCCCCCCCTTGTTCACGAGATATACGTATGTCCGCCATCTTGGATTTTTCGTCATAAGGAACAATAAATTGGCCTATCTGTCATCAAAAATAGCCCAAAGACAAAAATAGGATCAATAATCTTATTAACAATATAACGAAATATACTAAATAGCTAATCCTCCGGCCCGAATCCTCCGAATAGGAGAGTCTCGTCATCGGACTCATCTGAATCAAATAAGATGCCGTGGGCCCGTGTCGCATCAAGTTCCTGCTGTAGGATCTCATCGATTTCGCAGCCGTCCATGCCGACATCCTCACGAAAACGGCGCAACATCCTAGACAGTTACAGGCCACACACCTGCTCAGAAAACAACGCACATCATCTGTGTTTGGTCCCCACACACACATCACCCTGGCGACTTCTCTTCCCTTTGGATTGCAGTTGATAACCGGAGACGCCTTGACTCTCAGCGCGTTCCTCGACGAACCAGTCAAACACGGCGTCATCAAGCTTCATGTACCTGGGTGCTGGGTTAGTTCCAAGCTTCTTCTTCTTGGTGTCTGTTCCTTTTCCATGGCCAAGGAGTTTCTCGAAGTCTCTGTCCCACTGTCTGACGAGTTTCCTGTCGACGGAGAATTCTCGTTTTGTCTGATGGAGATTTCAGCCATTGTCCTGGAACCAGTTGACAATGTCCAACTTCTCCTTTACTGTGTAATGTCTTCGTGCAGCAGGCATGATGATTTGTGTCTTGGTTGGATTTTTACTCCCTATTTAATGACACTGATATGGCTTGGGACTCAACGTGTCAAAGTCTTCTCAACACGTCAAAGTGACACTGTGTTGTTTTAGCGTGTTTTGAGCGAGGCCCTCTAGCTCAGTTGCTGTGATTGTTAGCTAATTATCACCAGTTTAAATAACAAAAAAGTGGTCACCTGTGAACACTACAAAATCAAACCCTTCTTAATTACACCTGGCGATTAAATGTAAGTACTGCTTTATCGTGGAACGAGTTGGTTTTTAGGGGGGGGGGGCTTAATTGCGAATACCCCCCTATTCCTGGCATATTGGAAATAGTGGGGGGGGGGCTTATTTGCGGTGAAATACAGTATTTGTTGGTTCTGACGACATGAAGAACAGAACAGACACAACTACTGTGTAATAGCAGTTCTGAAACATGATTATAATCCTGAAAAACTACTAACTGTGTTATGACTCAGATCATAGATCACTCCAATAAAAAGGTACATCTGCTACTTGCACCTACAAACATTATTTGCACTAAGGTCAAAGATGGAACATCTTCTATATATTCTAATAGAAGACATTAGTATGGGACATTATACAATAGTAGGATCTTGGTGCCCACCATTCTTTGGTCTTTATTTGTTCTTTAAATGACTTTCCATTTTAATCTTTTGTGATAATATAACCATTTAAGATTTTTAGCATTTGTCTTTTACTTTTTAGTTCATCTGATGTCATCTCCTATTGGATCGGATTTTACCAGTTGATGATCCTGATGGCATTTTATATGTTGACGGGCCGTTAAGACTGTAATAATAATAATAATTATAATATTAATTGTTCTTTAAATGTTGGATCTTTTCTTTCTCCTCTTTACGCTAATTTTGACCTTCATTTTATGGAATTTGAAAATTATTCTTAAGTAGCAGCAGTAATATTGTTTAACTGTCGAACCCAAGATGGCTGCCTTTAAGCCATTCTGTTTTTTACTGATCAGTCCAAAAATAAAAATGGCACAACAACTAGAGACCATTTAGGGAAAACAGCATCCAGTGCTTTCAATAGATAGTTATAAGAAGAGTAGATTAAGGGAGGATGAATGACAGACAGATGAACATCAGGCCACACGGATACAGGGAGATTTGAATAACCTACCATCTCATCTCTAAAAAACTGTCACACAAACTTTGCTGAGACATAGATCAAGAATAGCTCTACGTATAGAAAGAGAAAACGTCTTGTTGAGACCAAAGTCTACATTGTCGGAAACAATGCCATGGCTGGATTTTCTACTTCAGATCACAAACCATTCCCTGATAGGGATCACTAAAGATACCATTGTCATTTCCATGGTTTAAAAAGAGTGCATTCTGCCAAGTCAGCCAGTTCTACCAAAAACTTTTATATAATTACACTACTGTAAAACGATTTAGTTCTGGAAATATTGTTGTGCGTGCGAAAGGCAGTGTAATTTTGCGATATTCAAGATATCTATTTCTGAATAAAGAGCGAATTATATAAGATCGCAAGGAGAATACAGCACTAACAGAATCAATATCAAACCAACCAGTCGTGGTAAATAAGCCAAAATTGTCATCATAATGTTTGAAGCTATTCTTAAATGTGTGTATATAAATCTCAAACAAAATATTTGATAACACAAACTTAATAGTGGCTACCATTAACATTATCGTTTTGAATGAAAATGATCTTGCGCTTTTAAAATTACAGTAGGTAAGGAAATATTTTATTAGTTAATTGATAAAGTGATATCATGTTTAATGGACGTAAAATTTCTTTATCAATATTTAATACAGTACAAAATTTCATACAATCAGTGGTATTTCTTCATTATACAGCAGCCAGTGCCTTCCAAAATTGGGAAAATTTTCTTGGAATTTTGCAAACAGAGTGACCATGATGTCTGAAGCATCACAGTGAAGTTGATCTTTCTATCTATAACAGAGTAACCATGATGTCTGAAGCATCACAGTGAAGTTGATCTTTCTATCTATAACAGAGTAACCATGATGTCTGAAGCATCACAGTGAAGTTGATCTTTCTATCTATAACAGAGTAACCATGATGTCTGAAGCATCACCGTGAAGTTGATCTTTCTATCTATAACAGAGTAACCATGATGTCTGAAGCATCACAGTGAAGTTGATCTTTCTATCTATAACAGAGTAACCATGATGTCTGAAGCATCACAGTGAAGTTGATCTTTCTATCTATAACAGAGTAACCATGATGTCTAAAGCATCACAGTGAAGTTGATCTTTCTATCACTAACAGAGTAACCATGATGTCTGAAGCATCACAGTGAAGTTGATCTTTCTATCACTTACAGAGTAACCATGATGTCTGAAGCATCACAGTGGAGTTGATCTTTCTATCACTAACAGAGTAACCATGACGTCTGAAGCATCACAGTGAAGTTGACTTTTCCATCTCTAATGGAGTACAGCGATACACTGATAATGTCTAGACTGATAAATTTTTAAACCTTTGTACTTAAACAGAATAGGACTGAATCAATTTAAATAAATATTGAATATTTTGGGCATATAATTTCAAGTGATAATAAAAAGAATATAGTCGATTTATCAATATGAGAATTCAGAATAAAATGCCAATATTGGACAACACAATTAATTGATATGTTTAACAGTAACAGACTGTGATCAGTCTACAAATCTGCCTACCCAGACACATGTATTCATTAGCTACATCACATGGTAATTATACACAGCACTTCCTTGTCTGCACACAATGTTTCAGCACTATAAGGATCAGCTATATCGCTCAACATAATGTTACCAGTTGCACTTTAAGGAATTTATTAACATGCAGTGAAATATGTCCCTGGTTTTCTTCCTTCCGTGAAGATAATGTAGACCAAGGCCATTGGATTGCAAATGGCTTTGAGTAATAATATCACAGAAATGTAGTGCAGATGTACATACCTCTACTGCAGATACATTATAGAGTCTAATGGCTTCATCAAATTGGTTACTACTCTCTACAAATCTGACTTCAGACTCATACCACCACCTGGAAAATAATCCCAATTTCGTTATTGTATTTTTTGCTATAAATTTTCCCTTTCAGAGTGAGTAAACTGGCAATCAATTACCTTATATACTGTATTAACAAATATTTTTGTTGGGGGGTATAAAATAATATTGAGCCCCATTAAAAAATTGATATTTGTAGTATATATTGTGTGTCAATTTTGAAGAATTGTTTACTTGGACATTAAAGAGAGAATCTTCATTTGTTTGATAATCGGTTCCCGGTTACAAATGCAGTCAAAACATTACAAAATTACATATCACTGCTTTAAGAGTCATTGAAAGCAAGGACTCTTCTACACAGTCACAAGAGATACATACTTAAAGCACTTTAAACAACACATCATCCTTGTGACCTTAACACTGACCCTCATCTGTAAAATCTTCAACATCAGTATAGTCTAATTTGGAAAACACTGGCATAAAAAATTTCAATTGGGTGTAAAATCTCGGCATCAATATCGATTAAAAGTAATTTCATAATCAAAGTTATTATAATTTCTTGGTGAGCTTTCCGAGTAAGCTGTATATGTTTGATTTGTTTTTTCGGCATCTCAAAATTTGGTGTCCGAATACTCATACAGTGAGCTCTGTCTAAACTGGACTTCCATGGTGTCTCAAAATTTGGTATCCAAATACTCCTACAGTGAGCTCTGCTTAAACTGGACTTTCATAGTGTCTCAAAAAAGTGTACATAGAGTATCAGGGTTAAATAAACACAATTTCTTTTATCAATGTTAAGATGTAATTCAATTCAGTAATTTTCACATTTTTAAAACATTTTTGTTCAAAAATGTTTGATATGATAGATTTTATGTATATATACGGTACATATCCTTAAAATTGACTAAATTCTGAGGTTACAACTGCTCTGTGAAGTCCCTTCCGCCTCCCAGCTGTAGTGTTTCCTGTTCTAAATCCTTTACATTCTATCACTTTAAGGACGTCCTGTTTGACTCTTCCCACTTCTGTCATATTATCCTTCACTTCAGGATAAAGTTTTACTTCTTCCTTCACACGACGATCCCTCCACAGTATTCAGAAAATGACAATTTCTAATGCTGTAGGGTGATTCAAGGGGTTTGTCAGGGTGGAAAACTCTATCTTATACTGAGTTCTGAGCAAGACAGCTGGCAAGTAAGAGTTTGGCTAGTCAGCAGGAAGCTTGTCATGTATGGGTTTGGCTGGTCAGCAGGAGGCTTGTCATGTAAGGGTTTGGCAGGTCAGCAGGAGGCTTGCCTTGTAAGGGCCTAGCTGGTCAGCAGAAGGCTTGTATTTTAAGGGTTTGGCTGGTCAGCAGGAGGCTTGTCATGTAAGGGTTTGGCTGGTCAGCAAGAGGCTTGCCTTGTAAGGGTTTGGCTGGTCAGCAGAAGGCTTGTATTGTACGGCTTGTCGTGTAAGATTCTATTACTCTCAGATTGTAATATTTGGTCATTTTCTGGGGCAGACTAATGACATTCTTAATTCCATATATCATCTGACCTAATGATCATAATTTTGGTACCTCAAATTAAAGAAACAAAAACCTGCAATTCCCCCATCTCTACCCTCACCCCCTCTCCCAAAATACACCTACATAACAAATTCTCCAGTATCAAACTATATATTAAAACAAGAGGCCCAATGAGCCTGCAGTACTCATCTGGTATATATATATACATACCAGTCAAATATGCCTTTACACCTATTAGTTTATAAAAAGAAGCCGTTAAAAGGTTTTAACAAATTTGATCCCTGTGACCTTGATTATTAGTCAAAGTAATTTCTATTCACAAACTTTGTCGCGCTTCATCCTAGGAACGTACCAGCCAAATATCATGCCTCTTGACCTTCTCCTTCATGAGAAGAAGTCGTTTAAAGGTTTAAAAAAAAAAAAATTGATCCCGGTCACCTTAAACATTGGACAAGGTCATTTTAGCAACTTTGTCAAGCTTTGTCTACGGAACATACCAACCAAATATCATGCCTCTAGGCCTTTTAGTTCATGACAAGAAGTTCATTAAAGGTTTGAACAAATTTGACCCGTGACCTTGAATATAGGTCAAGGTCATTTCTTTTTTACAAACTGTGTCAGCCTTCGTCCTAGGAAAACAACAGCCAAATATCAAAACATTTGGTTCATTGGCTATTGAGAATAAGTTGTTTAAAGGAAAAAAGTTGATGCTGGACCCTGCGCCACAGCATAAGCTCACTTGGCCCTTCAGGCCAGGTTAGCTAAAAAAACATTATCATCTGGCAAATAGCATAAACATTTCCATAAAATTTTCAAAAATTCAAAAACCTCTAGATCAAACATCAAAAAAATTCAATGCAATAATTCAAAATTTAATGGATCATTTTGCATTTTTCCTCCTTCCTTTCCAAACATAATAACCTGTTGATCACAAGTAACCCTATACAGATAATGTTTGTCATTATCAGATCTGCTCAGATCTTCTTTAAAGTACATACCAAAGGGATCTATTACATTATCTCTGTACATCGCTGAAAGTTTGACATTTCTCTTTCTATTTTTAACTTCAAACCAAATCTACCAGGAATTGTGTTGCATTTGTCTCCATTAAAGCCAAGTGTGAAAGGAAATCAAACTGTAGTTTTGTTTCCACTCAAGCTTACTTTAAAATTTCAAGTCACATCAAATTAAAGCTGTGTTTCCTTTCCAATTTTAACCTCAATAACACCATAACCAAAATTATATTAGTTTACTTTCTTTTTAAAACCTTCACCATTCCTCCTACATCAGTGTCATCTTCCACTTCCAGAGGAACGAAAATGATGTTTATATCTATATATCAAGGCTCCACACTACATGAGGCCATGGTGTCTAAACAGTCACCCAAATCTGAATGTATTGCTTAATTTGCTATTAAGTAATGAAATTTACAATTTTGGTAAAGCCCCTATATATAGACTTCCATTCATGATAAGTATTTGATTCTACCATATTTGGTTATCGAAAAGATGATTTTTAACAATTCAGTTCATTTGACCCTTTTTGGCCCTGTCCCTCAGCCCTCAGGGGTCAGACAAGATCAATATGTCCATAACATCAAAACATCGTCTCTTACTAGTAATTCTAACCAAGTCTGAAATATTTCCAATAGAAAATAAACATACTCAAAAATGTAGTGATCTTTTATAAACTATAGTAAACATTTTCCCCTCCACTGGGAAAATCTGAGACCCTGTGGTCCTGAAATTTATAATTTTCTGAAAGCACCTAAGACCCTTCCTTTCATGAAGATCATTTGATTCTACCATATTTGGGTATTAAGAAGTTCTTCAAAATTTCAGTCAATCTGACCCTTTTTGCCCCTATTTTCTGGTCCCCGGTAGTGGGACCATCTAATTTTCAATTTTTGAAGGTTTCTGCCGAATTTCATACATCAGTTCAGGGGTATTCCAGTAAAAAAAAACTAACAAATTTATGGACACACAGACAAAAGGGGATCAATCACATTACAAGGACAGCATGAGACTTTATCTCAGGTGACATAAAAATCTATTTTTGTTCTATATGTATTATGTTTTGTAACAAGACAAACAGCTAATTAATTGGTGTGTTTGAGGATGGTTATAGAGACTAGCTTTCTGCTAACATCCTTACTCTTTTCCAATAACTTTCTTTATATTTCAAACAATTTCCAGAGTCTGTGTGACCCTGGCTGTGCACAGCTATAAAACACAGAAAACAAACAAACAAAACTGCAAAAAAAAATCTAATTACCGTTTCTAAACAAAATGACATGGTCCTGCAGCTGCAGGCAGAAACAACAGATAATGTCTTTGTCTGAAGAATAATGGACTGCCGTTCCCACACCAATGTTAATATATATCAGCACTGCTTTACCTAATGGGCGGCAATTCTCTGTTAAAGACAGCATCTGATGTCAGGGATCATACATATATCATCAAGGGTACATAAAATTACCACAAACCTTATTAAGTCTCCATTACTATCTCTGTAGCCACTAGAAAATCCATCTACTGTCCAAACACAGGTAACCATACACAAAATGGTAGACAGACTGCCAGTCAAAACCCACAACAATTTTTTTAAATACAACTACAAAATATCTCACACTAAATGTTCCTCCATCTTCAGAGAGTTCGGTACATCAAGGTCATCTACATTATCAAGATGTTTGGCATCTATGAGGATATATATACAAAGAAATTGTGAGATGTCGATGCTGACTTGGTAACGTAAACATAGGTACACGTAAGTAACATGTGTATCTATCCCACACTTACAAACCTGCCGTAGATGTCTGTGATAACAGCAGCAAAAATAGTTAATTCAATTAGACTTAAAATGTCTTCAATTTAGATTTAAAATCTAGGTCACAGTAAACATCCCAAAACACTATATCTTTACTCTATCTATTCTCTGTAATTTCTCTATAATATTTACAAGATACAAACCAGAATACACCTACCAGCGGATATTTTTCAATTCCTAGAACCTGAAAGCTATCACAATCACTGAAAGCATCTATACATATATTAGACATTTGTGTGCTCATTTCTGTCTAATGTATCAATGAAAAAGACCCGGATTCACTTTTTAAATCAGACACTGGACCCGCTCCTGTTTTCTTTCAAGGACGTTAGTTGGAAAACAAGTATACACTTAATTTATATCTGAAATTCCACATGGTAACCATTCCTGTGAGGAGTGGGACGTAAATTTTAACAGGAAATCTACACAGATCCTGGTACCATCCTGTACACACTTATTCATCATCAGGTGATGAAGTATGTTTGGAAGAGGCGAATCAAGATACAGGCATGTTTCCATCCTTAAACCACAGACTTTTATTGTCATCTCTTCTGTATCTCAAAACAGTACAGAGAAATATCAGAAACAAAAGTGAACCAAATACTTCCATCCCTAAAACACTGTGTCATCTCTTCCTAGAATGTAAGTATGACATATATACTGTTCATAATTATTAGCAGTTACTTTTGAGCACTGTT